TCTGATAATGGTATGGCCAGGCTAAAGGTCTGCTTTGGGACCACTCTTCAACCCAGCCTCACTCCCCTTCCACTCAGCCACACCTTGCACCTGTTTAACACCACAGGATACCTCCAACTGTATCACACCACAATGTGATACAATTTCTGATGATTATCATAGCAGTAGTCAAAACACAGATGATGAGGAAGGTCAGTTATGAGTAGTGGACAAGAATTAAATTGTCAGGGAAAGCCAAGTGGGCAAATGAAAAACAGATACAAATTAGAAGCAGTTTAAATTTGATAACTGAAGGCAAGTAAGCGGTCTGTTCTTCAGAAAATAGCTCTGAATGGAAAAAAAAACCAGTATCTTTGGGAGTTATTTTGAGGACAGCCTCCAACTCCCATTCACTGGGAGAGATGGAAACCCAGGCTTCAGGATCATCTGGGCCTAGGTTGGAGATGTGTGCTGTTTGTTGCTTACTAGGTGACCTTGAGTAATGCTCAACCTCTCTGCGTCCCAGGGCTATCCTTGGTAAACGGGAGGTGATGAAAAAGAGGACCTGGTTCAGAAGGTTATTGTAAGGGTGAAACAAGGTGGTGCGTAGGAAGCACTTAACCAGTGTTGATGAACAACGGGCAATAAATCAATGAGAGGGCTCCTCTGACCTTTTTTTTTTTTTTTTTTTTTTTTTTGAGACAGGGTCTCGTGCTGTCACCCAAGCTAGAGTGCAGTGGCGCCATCATGGCTCACTGCAGACTCAACTTCCAGGGTTCAAGTGATTCTCCCACCTCAGCCTCCCAAGTAACTGGAACCACAGGCATGTGCCACCATGCCCAGCTAATTTTCGTATTTTTTGTAGAGATGGGGTTTTGCCACGTTTCCCAGGGTGGTCTCAAACTCCTAAGCTCCAGGGATCTGCCCACCTCAGCCTCCCAAGGTGCTGGGATTATAGGCATGAGCCACCACACCAGGCCTTCTCTGACTTTTGATACAATTTCTGATGATTATCATAGCAGCAGTCAAACCACAGGTGACAGGAGAGCAATTGCCTGGATTTAATCATCAGTACCTGAATCACTGACTTTATCTTACCAGCTTTTTTGTTTACAGTTCTCATCAGCAGAGTGCCCTCTCTTGCTAGTGAAAATAAGGTAAATAAGATCATTGTGGTCTTCCCAGGTTCAAATATGACAACCATGTCTGCAGTAGCACATCAGGAGAAAGAGTGGGGACTGAGGTCCCCAGATTTGAATTCACCAGGGCTACGTGTCAAAACTAGGATTTCCAACAAAGCAATGAGGAAAACCTTACAATTGTGTCTTTGTTGGGTGAGAGATGTGAAGCCCCCACCCCCAGTTCCACCCACAAGGGCTACATAATGGTCGAATTGCATTTAAAAGAGGAGGGAAAACTGCATGCTGGGCTTGGCCTTGCTGAGTGGGCCATGCAAGCTGAGAGCCACAGCTGAACTGTTCAGGATCCAGGAGGGGTCTGCAGAGTGACACGGGGAGGGGGTTCCTGGAGGGTCAGAAATGCTTCTAGAGAGGATTAATTAAGTACTGCTTGATAAGTGCCAACAAAGGTGGGGGTCCTCTTCCCCATCTTCCCATGAGAGGACCCACAAAATAACCTTCCTTGCAAGATCACTGTGGAATTGGGTGGTTTTTCTGGGAACTGGGACCAAGTCCTGAGTCAGGACTCCACATGGCCCAGGAACAAGAGTGAAGTCACTCAGGTAGCGGGTGTAACCCACCCTATCTGGGAAGTACCTGTACCACTGTATCACTGAGATAAATAAGTTAACATGTATTGAGTTCTTCCTAGGTTCCAGGGACTGGCCTAAGCACTTTACATGAGCTGCCTCATTTCATCAGCATGATAATCCCATGAGCAGGTGCTATGATCAGCCTCATTTTACATGGAAGGAAGTGATAATGGCTCAGAAAGATGAAATGACTTGTCTTGGACTGTGCTGCCAGTTGAGATGGAGGTGGACTTGCTCTTAACTGCTAAGCTATAAATCAAGGCCCAATTTACTAATTACTTGTATAATTAATATATCAGGTGGGGGGTCAGGCTGTGCATTGGACCCCAGTTGCTCTCCTCCATCAACTAAACTCATGAAATAGATGCATAGCTTCTTCCCTCACCCCACCAGGGAATTTCTCCAGGGATGAGTCCAATAGAACAGCCTTCCCAGATAGAAGGAAGCTGGGTTTTGGTCAAGGGCATAGTAATAGTGATACTCTCTGGTATATAATCATGCACTCACTTATTTAACATTTATCAAGGGCCAACTCTATGTTCACCATGTGCTAGGCATTGGGTAGCATTGACTAGAGATACAAAAATAAATCAGAGAATCTGTCCTCAAGGAACTTAAAATATGGGGGGGAGACAGACATGCATAAAATTAAGTATATGTGGGCTAAGAATGTCTTAATTAAGGATGTCTTAATTTGCCATAAAATGAGGAACAGATGAAACACTCTGAAATCTGAGAGCTGGGATCAATTACTTCTAGTTTGAGACCAGCAGGGAACTGGAAGCTTGAGAGAGAAGTTATGGAGCTGAGTTTGGAAAAACAAGTAGAAGTTAAATATGCAGAGAAGAGGAGCTCAGGGATTTTTTTCTAAAAAAAGCAGGAGCAGATGCACAGAGGCCGTGAGGTGGGGGCTGGTGCAGCGAACTCCGAGTGGTTCTGCTTGGGTGGAGGGTACCATCGGGAAGGGGAGCACTGCGGGGGAGGGATGGAGGGAGGAAGGAAGGAAGGAACCAATGAACAAATGACCTAAGCAGAGCCTTGAAAGCTAGGCTGAGGGCTAGTGACTTCATTATGTGGATCTACTGTTGTCAAATGGTGAACCACAGCCCAGAGGTGTATCCCAAATTCTTCCCTTCCTAAGCTGCTACCCAAATTCTGATCAATGTCTCATCATCCATTTCTGCCTCAAGTAAAGACACAAATGTCATGGTGAGGCCTGTCAAAGGAATGTTATGCTGAGCAGATTAAGTGGCAGGCAATTAGGGGGAGGTATAATATGGAGTGATTAAGAGGCAAGTGGGGCAGGATACTGTCAAGGCATTGCTGAGGAAAAATCGAGTATTTGCTAGAACATGGGAAAACCTTATCTCCTCAGTATATGGCAGTACCAACATGGCAGTAGGCAGTTCTTCTCAGATGAGGACCCTGTGCTGAAGGGCAACTACTTTGGTGATATCATTAACTATGGATAATTTTATAGACCTCAGGATGTGTCAAACTCATTGAGGTTTACACTGTAATTACTGCCAACATTTTTAGTATATATTTTTTTTCTTTTTGAGACAGGGTCTTGCTCTGTTTCCAGGTTGGGGTGCAGTGGCACGATCATGGCACACTGCAGCCTCAACCTCCAGGGCTCAGCTGATCCTCCCACTTCAGCCCCCTGAGTAGCTGGGACTGCAGGTATGCACCACCATGCCTGGCTAATTTTTTTTTTTTTTTTTTGGTAAATACTGGGTCTCACTTTGTTGCCCAGGCTGGTTTCGAACTCCTGGGCTCAGACAATTCTTCTGCCTTGGCCTCCCAAAGTGCTGGGATTATGGGCATGAGTCACTGTGCCCGGCCTTTAGTATTATTTTGAATCATTTAATCTGAATTTGAGTCCTAACTCTGCCATTCACTCTTGATCATTTTTCAGGCCTCTGTGTCCCTCCACTTTCTCCTCTGCAAAGTGCAGATAATAATAATAGAAAGAAGCTCAAGTGGCTGGGGAGGGCAATTGCAATAATGGAAGATACAGCATTCAGCAAAGTGCCTGGCACAGAGCGAGTGCCTGGTCAATAATAAATGTTGTAATTTTACTCTCTTCATCTGGATCATCCAAAATTCTAGAATTCAAAACAGTGCAGGGAACACATATACCCAAAGTATCCCGTGAACTACGGAAAAGAGGGAGTCTCTAAGGGTATCCACGTGGGGGTAGGCCAGCATTGGAACTCAGTTTGTACCGAGTTTACTGAGTTTTTGCCCAGTATCTACTAAAAAAAAAAAAAAAAAAAAATTAGCCAGGTGTGGGGGCGCATACCTGTAGTCTCAGCGGCTCATGAAGCTGAGGTGGGAGGAACAACTGAGCCCTGGAGGTTGAGGCTTCAGTGTGCCATGATTACGCCACTGCACCCCAGCCTGAAAACAGAGCAAGACCCTGTCTCAAAAATACTAAACTAAAACTTCCCTGCAGGGAAGTTGATTCTCTGCAGTGCAATGTTAACTGTCATTTACTGAGCACTTACTGTTTTCCAAGACTCTCTGCAAGCAGTTTACATTCATGACAGTTGGCATGGAGTAGAGAGATGCCAGGGGGAACAATCAATTCAGAGTCAAGTAGGAAGTAAGCAGAGTTTTGTGGGATTTTTCTTTTTTCGAGTTGGGGGTCTTGCTGTTGCCCAGGCTGGAGTGCAGTGGCGTGATCATGGATCACTGCAACCTCAAACTTCGGGCCTCAAGAGATCTTCCTGCCTCAGCCTCTTGAGTAGCTGAGACCATAAGTACGCGCCACCACACCTAGCTAATTTAAAAAAAATTTTTTTTTAGAGATGGGGGTCTCACTATGTTGCCTAGTGGTCTTGAACTCCTGGCATCAAGTAATCCTCCCACCTTAGCTTCCCAAAGTGTGGGATTATAGGCATGAGCCACTGTGCCTGGCCAAGGAGAGCTTTAATCAATGCATGTAATAAACAGAAGCTGAAGACCCAAGAAACCTGGTGGATGCCAAACTGCACAGGAGAAGGGCAGGCAGGAGGCCAAGCAAGGCGGAAAAGCTCTCTGGAGTCCAAGTGGCCAGACAGATGGTAGCGCATGTATGTGCACAACTAGATGGTGTGGCTGGAACGGGGTAAATGACCCCAAACACAGGCTTTCCCTCCCAAACAGGTCATCTGGAGAACAACTTGATGGTACCAAGATAATGAGCTATCATCTGATAATAATGATTGAGAATCTTAAAATAAAGAAATCCTGCCAAATAACTGACCTCAAAACATTTTTCCTTCTTCGCTTGGTGAAGCAGGCTAGCCATTCCGGGAAGCAGAACAGGAAAGATGAAAGTTTCCAAATATTCTTTGGGAGAACCTAAAACAAACAAACAAAAATTCCCACTGAAAATCCCCAGTGGCCCAAGCTAATCTGGGAGAAATGTTTACTTTTGAGCCAGAAAAAGGTACTGTCCATTCAATCACATGATCTTGGATGTTATATTTTGCTCCAGACTGCAGAGCTGGGCTGTATAACTAAAGTAACTTAAAATGTCCCTCTGAGCTTCTATAGTCTGGTGAAGATGTCGGAAGTATCCTACATAAGGCTGGGTCCACCAGCTTGTTATAGCCCCAAGCCAGGAACATCAAGGGGGCCAGTGTGGCCAGATGGACAAAAACAAGGGGAATGTGGTAGGAATTGGGACCAGAGAGGAATTGGGAGTGAGAGTATAATGGGTAAGCTCTTATGATCACAGTAATAAAGGCAGTCATTAGCCAAGGCCCAAGGCATGCAGAAGGCAGAACAAACCAGTATGAGAGGGTCTGGTACTACTGAGGGCCCAAGGAACTATGACTCAGATCTGCAGTCTACACCTCTGGCTTCCACACACAAAGCAGGGAAGCATGATGACGTTTTCTTCTACTTTTTACTTTTTTTTTGAGACAGAGTCTCACTCTGTGGCCCAGGCTGGAGTGCAGTGGTGCGATCATAGCTCACTGCATCCTGGATCTCTCAGGCTCAAGCAATCTTCCCACCTTAGCCTCCCAAGTAGCTGGGACTGCAAGTACCTGCCACCACGCACAGCTAATTTTTTTTTTTTTTTTTTTCTCGCACTGTTGCCCAGGGTAGAACGCAGTGGCGCAATCTCAGCTCTCTGCAACCTCCGCTTCCCAAGTGTGATTGATTCTCCTGCCTCAGCCTCCCAAGTAGCTAGGGTTACAGGTGTGCACCACCAAACCTGGCTATTTTTTTTTGTTTTTTGAGATGGAGTCTCGCTCTGTTGCCCAGGCTGGAGTGCAGTGGCATGATCTCAGCTCACTGCAACCTCCACCTCCCAGGTTCAAGTGATTCTCCTGCCACCACGCCCAGCTAATTTTTGTATTTTTAGTACAGACAGGGTTTCACCATGTTGGCCAGGCTGGTCTCAAATTCCTGACCTCAAGAGATCCTCTCGCCTTAGCCTCCCAAAGTGCTGGGATTATAGGCATGAGCCACCGCATCCGGTCATAATTTTTTTTTTTAAGTTTCTGTAGACATGTAGAGATGGGGTCTCCCTGGGTTCAAGTAATCCTCCTGCCTTGGTCTCTCAAAGTGCTGATACTACAGGCATGAGCCATCACAGCTGGCTACATTTGTTTACTGCTCTCTTTTCCTACTTTTTATTGAATGTGAAATCAAAGTACACTTTTTGTTACTTATTATCTTAATTACATTTTTAACCTTAAAGATAAATCAGTGAAATAAAGGACATTCTCTTAAAAATAAAACAAGAACACATTCTTTCTTATGTATGTGGTCTCCCTGAAGTCTATCTGTCCGCCTCCATACCCACCCTGTGGTTCTGCAATGTTAAAAGCCCCAAATTATAAAAGACGGCACCTCTCTTACTCACATGTTTTTGGGTTGACTGTTTCCGATTTATCTTGAGGACAGGGTGTATGTGAGATCATGGTGAAATGGGAAACCGGAAAATAGTGCTCTGCACTGAAGCCATGAAAAAGCATTTCCTCCACTGGCGCAACCTGGAGGCAGACAGGGGAGGGGAGGGGAGGCAATTCATTCAAACAGCTTAAATAATTGTATTTTCTTGTATAACCTTATGAAGGAATAAAATTCTACATCAGACTTTAAGGTTCAAAGGGTACACTGAGCACAGATCTTTGTCTCCCTTCCCTCCTGAGACACTATAAATGACAAGGCATAAGCTGTGATAGAGAAAAGGAGGACCATCTGTGGATGAGAGATTGGTAAACATATCCAAAACACCAGGGATGAAGCCTCACTCAAGAAGCAAGAAGCTCACACCTGTAATCCCAGCACTCTGGGAGGCTGAGACAGGAGGATCACCTGAGGTCAGGAGTTCAAAACCAGCCTGGCCAACATGGTGAAACCCCATTTCTACTAAAAATACAAAAAAGTAGCCAGGCGTGGTGGCGGGCGCCTGTAATCCCAGCTATTTGGAAGGCTGAGGGGGGAGAACTGCTTGAACTCAGGAGATGGAGGCTGCAGTGAACTGAGATCGCACCATTGCACCCCAGACTGGGCAACAAGAGTGAAAGTCCATCTCAAAAAAAAAAAAAAAAAAAAAAGCAGCAGCAGCAGCAGCAAGAGTGGAAGTAACAGTCACAGGAGGAGGCTGCCCCAGAATATAGACGTCCACCTTCCCATCAGATCCCAAAGGGACTAAACACTCAAGCTGACAGGCACTGCACAGGGTGGGAACAAGAATGGAATGATACACGATGAGGCTGGGTGGAAATCCGGCTGGGCTAACTTGGCCTGCTGCCCACACTCCCCTCAGGCTTCTTTCTGTTCCCTCAATGTCATAAAGCTGTGTTCACACCAGTTGGATCTCCAGCTCGCCCTCCTCTCCAGGAACTCTTCTGTAAACCAATGAAACTGCCTGAAAAGGAGTAGAAAACTTAGAACCACTTAGGGCACCATGATGGTAGGAAAAGAAAAAAAAAAAAAATTGGGCTGGGTGTGGTGGCTCATGCCTGTGATTCCAGCACTGTGGAAGGCCAAGGAAGGCAGATGGCTTCAGCCTAGGAGTTCGAGACCAGCCTGGGCAACATAGTGAGACCTCATCTCTACTAAAACTAAAAAATAATTAGTTGGCAGTGGTGGCATATAGCTGTAGTTCCAGCACTTTGGGAGGAAGAGGCGGGAAGATCGCTGGAGGCCGGGACATGCACTACTGCACTCCAGCCTGATGACAGAGTGAGACCCTGTCTCAAAAACAAAGAAAAAAATGGATTTAGAGACCCCCCCATCCCAAAATACCGACTTTCTGCCTGTTCACTCTGAAGAACAGTCGGCCAGTGGACAACCACCCTTCATGAGCACCCAGTCAGTGTTTTGCTACTCATAGAAGAGACCCATCCAGAAAACAAACCTACACGTACAGCAGTAGGAGAAAACCACACCAGCCGTGACACCGTGATGGTTAATTTTCAGTGTCAACTTGACTGGAGTAAGGGATACCTAGGTAACTAGCAGAGCATTATGTCTGGGTATGTCTGCAAGGGTTTTCTGGAAGAAACTGGTGTATCTGTTGGTGGATTGAGAGGAGATCTATCCTCAATGCGGGCAGGCACCACTGGATTGGCTGAGGGCCTGGAAGGAACAGAAAGTTGAGAAAGGCTGAATTCTTGCTCTCTTCTGGAGCCAGGACGCCTTTCTTCTGCCCTTGCACCTCAGAACTCCAGGTTCTCTGGCTTTTAGACTCCAGGGTTCTCATCAGTGGTCCCTGGGGGCTCTCAGAGGCTAATTAAGTCCAGCTAGATTTCCATGTAACCCTGTCATATATCATAAACAGAGGCCCTCAGACTGGTAGTTACACTGTTGTTTCTTCCTGGCTCTAAGGCTTTTGGATTTGGACTGAGTCACTCTACCAGCTTCCCTGGTTCTCCAGCTTGCAGACAGCCTAATGTGGGACTTCTCAGCCTCCATAATCATGTGGGCCAATTACCCCAGTAAATCCCCTCTCATATATGTATCTCTCTATATATCGTACTGATTCTGTCTCTCTGGAGAACCCTAATATACCAGCTATATAGAAAAATCCACTCGGGACCATTGTACATTTTAAATAAACAATCAAATCTCTTTATACAGGTCAAGAAGATCATAGCACAAAAGACAAAGATCAACATCTATTGTCAGAACAGCTGACCCTGGAAGAAGCACAGAGAATTCAGGGAAGAGAACTGTGATTTGTATCGGCAGAGAAATCTGAAAAAGAATTGCATCCATAAAGCAAAAACAGGATGTTAGGAGAAAAAGAACAATCACAGAATAAAGTTTTTAGACACAATGTCTCTGTCACAGGCAGCTGCAGTGATGAAAGTTACTAGAAGTCGAGAAACAGGTTTTGATTCCATGCGTGTTACTGTGCTCAAGTCCCTTCATCTCTCAGAGCCTTGCTTTTTTAAAAATTCAAATTCCATCAAGCTCCTATCTAATTCCAAGGTAGACTTCGTGAGCGCCTCTCTTCCCGGCTGCCCTGTCATTAGCCCTCTCTCCTTAGCACAGTCTTCATCTTGTCTACCCTGGCATGCAGAGAAACTTGGTCTATCTGCAACTGTCCCTCACATGGACATGGTGTTAGATCCACTGCAAAGGCTCTTCTCATCCAGGATCTCATGTGAGCACTACAGAAGTCCCGTTAGTTAGTTAAGGATTATCTGTCCCATTTAATAAACAGAAATCTGGCTGGGCGCAGTGGCTCACGTCTGTAATTCCAACACTTTGGGAGCCCGAGGCAGGCAGATCACTTGAAGTCAGGAGTTTGAGGCCAGCCTGGACAACATGATGAAACCCCATCTCAAAAAAAAATCCCGGGCACGGTGGCGGGTGCCTGTAGTCCCAGCTACTAAGGTTGCAGTGAGCTGAGATTGTGCCACTGCATTCCAACCTGGGCGACAGGGCAAGAGCCTGTCTCAAAAAATAGATTAGAGAGAGAGAGAGAGAGAGAGAGATAGATAGATAGATAGATAGATAGATAGATAGATAGATAGACAGACAGACAAATAGATAGATAGACAGATAGATGCTGAAACTAACGCTCAAAGAGGTTGTGTGATGCCCTCTAAGTCACACTGTTAGTATTAGAGCTGGGGTTGGCCCCAAGTTTCTGGTTCTCGCTCCAATGCCTTCCCTTTTCCACCTCCTGAACTCAGTGACACTGTGTGACATTCACAGGCCATCAGTGCTATTCTCATTTAAGAGCTTCTTGCTTAGGTTGAGGCCTGGGTAATACTTACAGTAATCACAGGTTCCTGTTTGACTTTATATCCTTCCGGAAAGGGAGGCTGCTCAGCTTCATACTCTAAAGGAAAGGGAGAAAAAATCCTCAATTCCATAATTCACTGCAGTTTCTGATGTAATTTCCTTTTCTCTGAGTAAAACATTCTTAAATTTATTTTGGCTGGTGGTGTACAGAAATGAAAAAACAACTGGCCATAACAGGTTAACATTTAATGTAATTTAAAGTTAACATTTAATGGTATTTAAAATCAGCAAGAGGCTGGGTGTGGTGGTTCACACCTGTAATTCCAGCACTTTGGGAGGCTTAGGCGGGTGGATCACCAGGTCAGGAGATCGAGACCATCCTGGCGAACATGATGAAACCCCATCTGTACTGAAAATACAAAAAAACTAGCTGGGCGTGGTGGCAGGTGCCTGTAGTCCCAGCTTCTAGAGAGGCTGAGGCAGGAGAATGGCGTTAACCCGGGAGGCGGCGGAGCTTTCAGTGAGTGGAGATCACGCCACTGTACTCCAGCCTGGGTGACAGAGCGAGACTCCGTCTCAAAAAAAAAAAAAAAAAAGGCTTTATATAAGAGTCTGAGACTCTTTTTCTTAGAGGACACAACTTCAGATTTTGCCAACATGATGGAAACTATTAGGAATTAAGGGAGGAAGAGAACACAGAGGTTGGTTAAGGGAAGACACTGAGAGCACATGCAGAAGAGAGGCTAACGGCCGGGCACGGTGGCTCACGACTGTAATCCCAGCATTTTGGGAGGCCAAGGAGGGTGGATCACTAGGTCAGGAGTTTGAGATCAGCCTAATCAACAGCCTAACCCATCTCTACTAAAAATACAAAAATTAGCCAGGCGCGGTGGCTCACACCTGTAATCCCAGCACTTTGGGAGGCTACGGCGGGTGAATCACCTGAGGCCAGGAGTTCGAGATCAGTCTGACCAACATGGTGAAACCCGGTCTCTACTAAAAACACAAAAATTAGCTGGGCATAGTGGCGTGCACCTGTAATCCCAGTTACCTGGGAGGCTGAGGCAGAAGAATTGCTTGAACCCAGGAGGTGGCAGTGAGCTGAGCTCGCACCACTGTACTCCAGTCTGAACAACGGGGTGAGACTCTGTCTCAAAAAAAAAAAAAAAAAAATTAGCCAGGTGTGGTGCCAGGTACCTGTAATCCCAGCTACTCAGGAGGCTGAGGCAGGAGAATCACCTGAACCCTGGGGGCAGAGGTTTCAGTGAGTGACAGAGCGAGATTCTGTTTCAAAAAAAAAAAACAGTCCACATAAGTTCTACAGGGTTGCAACAACTATGACTGACAGAGGAACAGAAAATGCTCATGGCCAGTATTAGTTACATCCCTAAAGCAAAGACTGATAAAAATATTTCTGGAAAGGTCAATGTTGTCAAGGCAATTGCACAGTCACTTACAGTCATGAGGAAAAATTAATTTGTGGGCAAGATGGTATTGAGGGCATACAGTCGTATGGACACAAGTTTTATATCATTACCTAGTTACTTATCAGATAGTACAGCATTTCCTCCACTTCTCAACATATATATATTTTTTTAACTCCTAAGCATCAGGCTGGGGACAAGAATGTCAGGTTGCAGGTTAAAAGCAATTTATTTCTCAATACCAACTGTATTTGTTTTCTATTATTGTGTAACAAATTAGCACAAATCATTGACATAAAGGAATGCATATTTATTATCTCACAATTCCCTTGAGTCAGGAGTCCAAGAATGGATCAGGGTTTTATCAGGCTGAATTCAAGGTATCAGCCAAAGCTGTGATCTCTGAGGGTTGGGATACTTTTCCAAGCTCATTGGTTGTTCGCAGAATTTCGGTTTTGATAGAATTTTAGTTTCTTGGCCGGGCATGGTGGCTCAGACCTATAATCCCAGCACTTTGGGAGGCCAAGGTGGGTGGATCACTTGAGGCCAGGAGTTTGAGACCAGAATGGTCAACATGGTGAAACCCCATCTCTACTAAAAATACAAAAATTAGCTGGATGTGATGGTTGGCACCTGTAATCCCAGCTACTTGAGAGGCTGAGGCACAAGAATCACTTGAACCCGGGTGGTGGAGGTTGCAGTGAGCCAAGATCTCACCATTGCACTCCAGCCTGGGTGACAGAGCCAGACTCCATCTCAAAAAAATAAAAAAGAATTTTAGTTTCTTGTGGTTGAGGTCTGAGGTCCTTGCTATCTTGTGGGTGTCAGCTGGGGACCCTCTCAGCTCTTAGAAGGCACTCTCAGGTTCTTGCCATGGGTGATGCACAACTTGGTTGCTGCTACTTCAAGGGCAGCAGGAGAATCTCTTCTGCTTGAATCTGACTTCTGACTTCTTTTAAAGGCTCACCTGATTAGGTCAGGCCCAGCTACAATAATCTCCCTATATTAAAGTCAGTTGATTAAAAGCTTTAACCATATCTGGAAAATCTTCTGAGAGCCATATCTAGGTTAGCGTTTGATTGAATAACTGAGGTGTGTTCACAAGGTGGCAAAAAACTTGGGGGCTATCTTAGAATTCTGCCTACCACACCAGCCCCAGCTCTACCATTTTTTTTCCCTCTCCGGCAAGCATGTAAATTCACCCTTCTTCCCCAGCTGCCTTGGGAACCACTGATATAGTGTGAAACTGTTTATTTGGGCTTAAAATGTATACATTTATACTGCTGTCTGATTACAAAAGCAAGACATACTTATTGAAAGAAAATTTCAAATAACACAGGGATGTCTTATGTAGTGTAAAAGTCACACTTAGTCCTATTGCAATCCTAAAACCATTGTTAGATATGGCATAGATCCAACCAAATCTTTTTTTTTTTTTTTTTTTGGCGGGGGGGTGGGGGCGGCGACAAAGTGTCACTCTGTTGCCCAGGCTGGAGTGCAGTGGCGCAATCTTGGCTCACTGCAACCTCTGCTTCCTGGGTTCAAGCAATTCTCCTGCCTCAGTTTCCTGAGTAGCTGGGACTACAGGCACATTCTGCCATGCCAGACAAATTTTTAGTATTTTAGTAGAGATGGGGTTTCACCGGGTTGCCCAGGCTGGTCTTGAACTCCTGAGCTCAGGCAATCTGCCCACCTTGGCCTCCCAGTGGTAGGATTCCAATGTATTTACTAATATATGTATATAATACACAATACATTTGTTTACTTTCAATTTCCCAGGCTAGGTCAAATTGCCCATGCATAGAACCACATAACACTGTGTCCTTTTTCTTCACAACTCATATTAGTTTGTGCCTTATTTGAAATTTATAAAAATTAGTGACTTTCTTGTTTTTTTTCTTTCTTTTTTTTTTCTAGACCGAGTCTTGCTCTGTTGCCCAGGCTGGAGTGCAGTGGTGTGATCTCTGCTTACTGCAACCTCCACCTCCCAGCTTCAAGCGATTCTCCTTCCTCAGCCTCCCAAGTAGCTGGGATTACAGGCACCCACCATCATGCCCGGCTAATTTTTGTATTTTTGTAGAGATGGGGTTTTACCATGTTGGCCAGGCTGGTCTCAAACTCATGACCTCAACTGATCTGCCCACCTTGGCCTCCCAAAGTGCTGGAATTACAGGCTTCAGCCACCACACCTGGCATTAATGACTATCTTTTCTAATAGATTATATGTTTTGTGAGGGAGCACTGGGATCTGTTCTCTCACCATTACTTCCCCACAGAACACTGGCTGAATGAATGAATGAATGAATGAATGAATAGATGAACAGAACCAACCATATCGTAAGTTACTTTTGATGCCTTATTCATTCTTTTATATTTATTGCAAGCCCATTACCTGCTATGAACCATTCTATGTGTTAAATATGAGGCTCCTTTCAATGTTGCTACATACATGATGTACCACATTTATTTAACCATTATACTCTTAATGGGCATTCGGGTTGTTTCCATTATTTTATTATTATAAACAACGTTTCAATGAACATTTTTATACAAATATCATTGATCTGCAGAGAAGTGTTTTGGTAGGATCCTTAGATGTGGAATTTTTTCTGCCAAAGGAAAAAATAATTTAAAATTTGGGCCAAATTGCCAAACTTTTCTCCAAAAAGTTTACAGTCACTTGTACTCCCAATAGTGACACTGCCTGTTTCTCTAGAGTATAATCAATCTTACACATTAAAAATTTTTCAACACCTGTAAAAGAAAAAAAATGGTATTTTATTTTTATTTGCATTTCTTTATTACTTGCTATCATATTTTTTCCAGTGAAATCTCTCAGGAGTTCACTTAAATTTGATGGAAAAAATACAAATTTCTTCATCATATGATCACAAAAGACATATAGTTGAAATGATTATGTAGAAGTATGAAGTATGGGAAAATACTTTAGCTTCAAGACAATCTGATGCGTTACTCTAAACCTCTGTAATGTTTAAGAGAATCTATCATATTTGAGAATGTCAGTTTTCCCTGGGGCTTCAATCTGAAATATGATTACAGACTGATGCTTTTACATTGAAAGGCATAAAAGAATTTAACTTTGTAGAGTACTGGACTACTTAAAACAACTTGATTTACCATAGTTTAATTAATTCAATTTCCAAGAGTTGTTTTGGTGCTTAGAAAAGTGTGCTTATCTGCTCTGTTCTGCATTAGAAATGCTTAAGAAAATCAGGGGCCCAGGCATGGATTACAGGCTCACACCTGTAATCCTAACACTTTGGGAAGCCAAGGTGGGCAGATTGTTGGAGCCTAGGAGTTCAAGACCAGCCTGGGCAACATGGCGAAACCCTGTCTCTACAACAAATATAAAAATTAGCTGGGTGTGGTGGCACACACCTGTAATCCCAGCTACTTGGGAGGCTTAGGTGGGAGGATCACCCGAGCCTGGGAGTTGAGGCTGTAGTAAGCCACAGTCACACCATTGCACTCCAGCCTGGGCGACAGCCTGTCTCAAAAAAATAAAAATTAAAAAAAAAATTTTTTTAAATCAGTTATATTAAATGTATAAATGTTTACAATCTTTCAATCACCAAAGCTTATAAATGGCATTAGGGGAATTTAATGTTATATGCATATTAAATGAACATTATGAACAAGTGAAAGTGGTTGT